AGAGAGAGAGAGAGAGAGAGAGAGAGAGAGAGAGAGAGAGAGAGAGAGAGAGAGAGAGGGTGGGAATGAGCCTGCCTGTAAATGTGTGTGTGTCACAGCATTTGTTTGGTTTCAACGGCGTCGAAGGTTGAGGAAGGTATTGTGCCTCTCTGCTTTTGCGGAGATGGTTGCTTATTTTTCAATTCCCCTGATTGCTGTCATAGTGCTTGCGGATAGTGTGGTGTGGAAGTGTGTGGTGCCGCTTCGGCCGTGTAGGGCATACAGGTCACCGCTACTGTTGCGTCGAAAGACGGCTGTAGGTGGATGGTGCCCGAAAAGTTGAGGGAGGTATTGCCGTACTTGCGGAGGAGCGTCTACGAGTTTTAATCGCAAGTGTAAGGCTTCTGATGAGCCGGTGAAATTCTGGTGAAACACTCACAGCATTTGTTTGGTTTCGATGGCGTCGAAGGTTGAGGAAGGTATTGCGCCTCTCTGCTTTTGCGGAGACGGTTGCTTGCTTGTGTGTGTGTGTGTGTGTGTGTGTGGGTGGGTGGGTGGGTGGGTGTGCACCTGTGACCCTTCTCGTGAGACAAAGGTAACTATGTCTCAAGGATAATAGGACTACGGTCTGTGTCATAGGGTCTGAAGCCTGACAGAGCTAGCAGAGTACAAATGATGATGATTGATTTATTTAACAGTTTGCTTCAGAGTTGGAGTATTTAATCACTTTACGTGGTTTTGCTCTTTTCTTTTATTTCTTTTTTAGCAATGACTTCAACATGTAATCAATTTGCTGAAAGAAAAGAACTTTCGCTGTCAATACCTCTGACTGGTTATTTGCTCTATTGCTCTATTGCTCTATTGCTCTATCGCTCTATTGCACTCCAGGACTACCAAAAGTATTATGTTGAAGAGTATGGAGAAGTCAGTGGTGAATTTGCAATGATGGCAGAGGTATGGCACCTGATGTCCCTCATCTCCCGGACCTTGCCACCGCTCCCTATCTCTACCCTCCTCCTTATCTTCTGCCTCTCTTTCTCTCTGTTTCTCTGTCTGAATGTTGGTGCTATTTTCCGAGTTCATTCAATGAGGAAAGAAGAAGAAGAAGAAGAAGAAGAAGAAGAAGAAGAAGAAGAAGAAGAAGAAGAAGAAGAAGAAAAAGAAGGAAGAAGAAGAAGAAGAAGAAGAAGAAGAAGAAGAAGAAGAAGAAGAGGAAGAAAAAGAAGAAGAGGAAGAAGAAGAAAAACAAGAAGGGGGAAGAAGAAGAAGAAGAAGAAGAAGAAGAAGAAGAGGAAGAAAAAGAAGAAGAGTAAAAAGTAAAGAAACGATATCTCAGGAATAAGCAGAAGCTCTGGACAAGCCCATCACCTTGGAAGAACTGCAAGGTGCTGTCCAAAGTATGAACAACAATAAGTCACAAGGAATCGACAGACTGACAAAAGAATTCTGGCTGGACAAGCCCATCACCTTGGAAGAACTGCAAGGTGCTGTNGCTGTCCTCTGGCTTGATGCCATCTCCGTCTAATACGTGGCCCAAGTACAAAACTTGTGTCTTGGCCCACTCGCACTTCTTCGCGTTGATCTTGAAGTTAGCCTCTCTAAGCTTCTCCCAGACCTGCCTCAGATGACCCTGATGCTCTTGGAAGGTCTTACTAAAGACTAGGATATCATCTAAGTAGACTACCACAAATTTATCTAACCACAGTCTAAACAGGTCATTCATGCAACGCTGAAAAGTAGCTGGCGCGTTGGTCAGTCCAATGGGCATCACTATAAACTCATAATGCCCATATCTAGTCCGAAATGCAGTCTTGTACTGATCATCAGGATGGACTTCTATCGGATGGTATCCGGACTTTAAGTCTATCTTAGAGAAATACTTACAACCCTGCACCCGATCTAAAAGATCGTCTATCCTGGGCAGCGGCTCAACATTCTTCACGGTGATCGCATTCAAACCCCTATAGTCTATACACATTCTCAGCTCTCCTTCCTTCTTAGGGACAAACAAAACGGGTGCTCCAAAAGGAGACGAACTGGGCCTGATCCAACCTTTCTCAAGGAGTTYGTCTAACTGCTTRYGAAGCTCCYCTAACTCTCTAGGGGACATCCTGTAGACTGCACCCTTAGGAGTTCTGCTGCCAGGCTCTATCTCTATCCTATGCTGGATGGGTCGCGACACTACTCYTGTCGGCGACTCAGTCAAGTCTTTGAATTCTTCCAGCAGCTTGGCAATTGTTGGATCTGTGGAACTATCCTTTTCCTGGGCCTCAGTGACAGGTCTAACATAAACTACAAAGACCTGGTCTTCTAACTGCTCCTTCTTTACTAATCGCGCGAACACGGGAGCACTGAGACAGCAATGTGCCAAGGTGTTATCTACACCAGACACATGGAACAAGCGGGCAGTCTTAACCTCGCCTGACGGACTAGGGAGCCTACACTCATGCTCTCTCAAATGAAGTGTAGCCCCTGCTGCCTCTCCCCAATCCATTCCTAACACTATATCGAAAGGAAGGTCATCCTACACGAGGAGAGTCAGGGAATGGAGAATTTTCTCCACCTTCCCATTCTTCTCTAGGCGAAAATATGCCTGGACTCCCTCTACATAGTCCTCAACGCGCATCGTGCGGTTGTCTGCGAGGACACTGACTATGGGGTCTAGTAGCTTTTGGACTTTTAGTCCCAGCCTCATCTTCTTCAGCGCCCTACGGCTGATATAACTACGAGTAGCCCCTGAGTCTATAAGGGCCCCTACTCTACTTCTAAACACCTCTACATCTACCAAAATCAGTTGTCCCTTGCTCTCCTTTTTCATTTTGTCCCAGGCTGGCATCCTCTCCTTTAACTCTTCTGCCACACCTGTGAGGGACGTGCCTAAAGAGACGCTAACACAGGCGGTCTCTGGACAACTATCTAGGCACGGGCCTGCAACCTCTGCCATAGGCTCATGTGGGTTGGGAGTGTTCTGTTCGCGCGCACTCACTTCTCCACATGGCCTAGAAGTAGGGGCAGTTGCGACCCCTACTGGCGGCTGCCTTTTGACGACCGAGCAGCCCAACGGGCCTGTCTATACTTTGGACAAAATTTGATAATGTGGGCCGGGTCACCACATAATATGCACTAACCCCGGTCCACGCGTTCTTGCCATACGCGCTGGTCCAACCCCAAATCTTCCCAGGGCCTGCCCTGTGGCAAGCCTGGGTGCCATCCTCCTTGAGGTGCCCTTACACCTCCTCGCTGTGGGGACCGGAATGAACCTTGGCGATTTGACGGGGGACCTTGACCCCTACCTCCCGCTTGGCGGTTTCCCTGCCCGCCAACCCCCTGTGCGCCCGGTCCTCGGCCACCCATGGCCTGGCCCCTTTGGCCCCGACCTCCTCCTCCTCCTTGCGGCCTCCCTTTAGCCGCGACAGCAGCGTAAGACCTCCCCTGCCCCACACTACTGCCATCATCTTCAAGACCCCACTCAATCTGGTCATATGGGACCTCATCGGTACCACC